CCGAGGCTTGGAAGGGACCTGTCGCGACAGCCGGAGAACACAAAGGCACCGCCCAGAGCTGCCAAACGAATTTATTAAATAGGTGCAATAAAAATAACTTCGGCGTTTGGCATATGCGAGGTGCTTTTGGGGATTTTTTTTTTCCTCGTGCAAAGACAGCGTTAAAAATCTCGAGGCCTTAAACACCTGATCGGCTGATCCCGTACAAACCCAGCGCTGTCTGTACAGACTTCGCCCTGTGGTATACAAAAACCCCCGCATCCACAGCTTCTGCTGGTATAACCATGGGGCACTCGCTCGTGGAGACGTGGGATCAGTTGATTCTGTCCTGGGAAGCAAGTGCCTGAGCGCTACCAGCAGAAATGTTCAGATGTCTGACTAGGATTTGGTCTCTTTTAGGCTATTAAATGGTGACACGTGGTAGCCTATGGATGTTTATTTTAATTAAGATCTAACTAGAGAAACTCAGAGCTGGATTTAGAAGCAAGCTGAGAGAAAGTACTCTAAAGTAGGCATAAAGGTCTAAATTTATTAATTCTACTTTCTTTCAGTGGCCAATTTCTTGGGGATATATTCCAGAATTAACTGTGATTTTAAAGCTTTAATTTTTACAGTAGCTCCAGTGATACGTACGTAGCTCCCTTATTACGTACCAGATGGGACTCTGGCGGTTTAACTTAATCCCTCTTGTCGAGCGGACTCGTAAGGCACTTGGTGCACAGTGAGAGGCAGCACGACACTAGGTCCCATCGCCCACGTAACGGCATGTCATATGGCGATACCCAACCCGCCCCTGAGCTTGTTATTTGGTGCTGATTCCCGGTGCTGAGCAGTGCTTCGGGCACAGCTCTGCTGCCTTTAAAACTCCAAACCTGACACAGACACCAAGGCCAGGCTCCCACAGCAAAACCACTTCTCCCCGTGCGTGGCTTAGGTTACAGCTGTTTCACTCGACGGTCCCATCTCCAATAAAGAACCAAATTAACGGCCTCCCCTGTGCCACGCAGGGAACGTGGCAGGCTAGACCTGTCCCAGAACATTCCCGTGTTTCTAACATGTACGTTGCAAGGAGGAAGCCACGGTGCTGCACAGAGAGCTAGCACAGAAGTTATCAGACTAGGCAAGTGCTGCTCGGGGCTGATAAACAGCCCCAGGTAGTCAAATGAATAAAAGATGATCTCAGGTGCTCACAGATTTTAAATAACTATTTAATAATAACAGTTTCTAAAACAAAGCAAAAAAATACTTGTCTGGTCATCGATTCGAGTATGTTTCGCCAGTTCTTTTAGTTGGGCCCGCTCTTGGGGTTGGGATCTTGCTTCCTGTAGAGGGCGGTCGAGCTTTTGCTCCTGAAGGACCTGGTTTCCTTAAACACTGGCCACCTACTTTGCCTGCAAAGAGAAAATACCGGTCATTACTGTGAGCACGTCTAGTCCCAGTCTTGAATTTCATCTCCCATTTTGATTCTGGAGATGTGTTAGGCCGGATGGCTGACACCAGCAGCTAAAAGCTGGCAGCATCCAGCCCGAGCTGTGTGGTAAAACTGAGTGCTGAGAGCTCCTTTCCCATCTCCAGGAAATTGTTCTGGAGCGTTAGCTATATCCAGGCAGGATTTAATTTCTTTCTCTATTTCCAAATTCTAAGCAGCAGCAAACTAAGTAGCATTTTCAATAGGAAGCAAAGGTGAAGACAGACGAACTGGACCTGCAGTCGTGTCTGTCTAAGACCAGAAGCTGTTGAGTTTACCTGCAATCACTTAAGACAGCTAAAAGACAACGCAGCAACACTTTCCAGGAAACTGGGAGTAGCTGTAAAACACAGATGTGAGCAAAGCAAATACTACACAGAGGAGAATAATTCTAGCAACTCCCTGAACATGCGGAAGACTAAAGAACTTGGAAAAAAAATCTGACAGAGGAACGGGTTTGAATGTTACCGGCCAAAACAGTTATGATGCTGCAGGCAGTGAAAACAGCTTGTTTAACTTCTGTGTGTTCAGGAGATAAAAGGCTTTTGCATGTGCTTCATATTAAAGACGACTGTTAAAAAAAGACCACCTGACATCAGCAGCACTTTCTCTTTGCTGGTGAAGAAGCTGCACAATCATAAATTCTGCCTAGCTCCTGGATCTGAATTGAAAAGGAAACGCAGCACACAGCACTACTATTCATCTCATCTTGTAATTAGGATTAGATTAGCATCCTCTGATTGGCCATCAAAAGCTAAATCAGGCTCTCTGTTCTCTGTGTCAACATTCAGGAGCCTTCATGAATGTTGACTGTTCAGTATCACCGCTGATTGTTCCATTCATGGTCACACTACTACACAAAAAAACCCCCAAACTGATCAAATTATCAAATATGCCCGTTTCCCCACTCAACTGAGCTAGTGCCCTCATTTTGAAATCACTGTTGCTGAATGATTTTGAGAATTTGCTAAGTGTACTGCAGTCTGTGCCAACATCAGAGCTCTCAGTTAGGTCACACAAATGCAAAACTAACTGTTGAACAAGTAATCAAGAGCCAGCTTGCTCTTGAGGATTAACTACTTTCCTTAAGTAAAGGCAACGTAGCAAAAAGCATAATCGTTATTATCACAAAATACTACTTTACCAGGCTGCAGCAGAAGGGGTTTTTTCAGTGTGGGTAACCTCCGTTGATTCATTTTGCAGCCGTCTTTGCCCATTAGGTGAAATTTCCAGGCCTGAAGATGATTAAAAAGAAGGGGTATTACACCACCAGCTAAATTAGCCAATTTTTTATCTAATCACTATGTACGCACATATGCTTTTAAAACATGGGGAAAATGAGAGCTGTATGCAGACTTTACAGGAAGAGCATTTTCATCTGCTCACTCATTAAAGCATGAGCACCTTATGACTAAGTGAAATAAATATATCAATTTTTTAAATATAACTTAAAAGCTACATCACAGTAACAAAAACACCAGCCCGATCCTAGAAATTAAAAGCATGTAGCATTCATTTGCGTTTTTAGGTTTTCTTAACCACTGAGTTCAAATCAGGAAAAAATACAGAAAATAACATGGAAAATCTTTTCTTTCACGCCTATTTTAAACTGAAAAAGTGTGGGCACAACTACGAGTTAAAGCATTCAGCAACCCAGAGGAGTAGGAGCTGCTATTACAAGAAAACATGACAGCCTCATCAAACTAGAGACTACGTGAAATCTCTCACAAGAATAATTTGTACAGAAGCAAGGAAAAAACCAACCAAATAAAAAACCCTGCCAAATCCAAAACCCAGTATTTTCTGAGCCCCTCACGCTCACAGATCAGCCACTGACATTTCCCTGGACCTCATACTCGGTGTAGAGCTGTTGGCTGCCTCCTGGACAGTCTTTTTCTCCAAAGATTAAATCATACACAGAACTACTTCAATATGACCATAACGCAGTGTCAGATGGTTCGTATAAAAGACTGAAACAGACACTTTAAGTATCTCCTGAACAAATCACTTTTTATATAACAGACCCCAGCAACAATCCAGGCAGGTTCTTAAGCCACTGGGCGTTAGCCAGTGCTAGCAGAGCACGTGAATCAGTCCCAGTGACACAACAAGTCCGGACCAGTCTGGAAGGCAGTCTCACCTCCTCTCCTGGGGAGAAGTTTCCATGGCACAATGGGCAATGGTTTGCCACATTTTCTGGCTTGGCAGCTGAAATAATGAGAAAAACAACGTAAGAATTGTAAAATCAGGCTGATTTCAAATACAAGAGGAGAAACTGCACAGCAAAGAGCATCAAAACTACCCCATGGCTAAAGCAGCTCCCACCCCACCATCATTAACTACTGTCAAAGAAGTCCCGCGTTTAATCATCTCTTTCGAAACAGGATCAAAAGGAACGACAGGGCTTAACCCGCAAGGATGAGGCAGAGGCTTTCTGTTCTCCTCACTCATCCTCCCCAGATACGTTGACAGAAGTGAAGCATTTCAAGCACTGGGAAACTCAAGCACTTATTCCAAAAGCGTTCCCTCCTGAGGACTGACTTGGATTTCTACATCCGCGCTGCAGCGCAGTATCCGAAAGTCTGTCTGACTTGACCTGTGGGGTTCAACCTTCCTGTTCGCAACTACTCACGACTACAAATCTTGCTCCGAACATGTTTGGGCAACTCATCTCTTGGAATGGCCTCGCTGCATCGCTGACATCTCCCAAAGCTGTCCTTTCTCTCGCAGTCGGTCAGCAAGTGCTCTGTCAGGCCTGCTATCTCCACCACCTGCAACACAGCAAGAGGCACCCAAGAAGATTTGTACCACGCTGAGTTGATAAGGACAGTATTAAAAAACCTGCTTTTCTGATTTTCAGAAGTTAAACATCACTTTCCAAGATGGCAAAGTGAAAATTAATTTTTAATCCTGTTATTAATACAATTTGTAATGCTGCCCTTTTTGAAAAGCACTACCCCAGGTCACACAGTTGGGTTCAGAATTCATCTACCTTAGCGTTAAATATCTCACAGCACCTTAAAACCAGAATAGCAACAGTTAAATTCCTTGTAGCAGCTCTACAAAGTTCATGCCTCACCTGTTTGCATTGCTTACATCTGGTTAACATAGGGCACTGTTTCCAGTAATGGAGATCCAATCCTTCCTCTGTAAATGACTCGTCCCTTTCACCACAAAAAATACATAATCTGGGGAAAAAAATACAAACATCAGAGTGAAAAAAAAAGAAAGCTACAACATGTCTTTGCCTTACTTGATACTAGTAGTTGAACTGTGGCATTTCTCATCCCACAAGCAACTACCCAGAATATAAAGTTCAAGGCCATACTATCCAAGAACTTTTAAAAAATCAATATCCAGGATTGCCTGGTGATAACTCCACATCTGTTAGAAGAGATGTGCTTTTTCATTGTCTCAATGCTGAAGGCATTAGCTTTGATCTACTGGAAAAATGTCATTAACATTTTCAGCTTGCAGGTTATACCAAGTGCTTACGGTGATTAGAAGCCGCTCATTTAACTTACTTATCCAAGTACTTTGCAACAGAGGAATGATCATCTGGAATTTCTCCGGCTGCAAACTGTGGGCTTTCGTTTAACTGGTAACCTGAAAGAAGACAACCGTTAAAACCAAGATTATATCTGGATTTGGTTTTTGTGCATGCCTAGAAATACTGCTTCTCTGGATCTCAACAGACACATACCACTGCTGTAGTGGTAAAAAGCACTGAAAAATGAGATACTTGGAGTAGTTGCTTTAGTGATCTACAGCAGTAATGTATTTTAGTGGTGATTTTCCCACGTAGTAGATGACCTATCTCAGGTTGAGGAAGACACTAAAAGGGTTTCAAGCCAAGCCATACAAATTATCAGAAACTGACTGGCTAGCTGATGGTAAATTTTCTTGTGTGAACTTAGTGGTTACCTCTATGGCAAGTTGAGCCTCAGCCAACCAGTGTTTTTAACTGAGGTAATTCAACAATCTATCAAGCATCTACAGCGCTTCAAAGACAACTTGAAATATCTCTATGTTTCTTAACGCTGTTTGAAACTACCTACCTTGATTCCTTGGCTTCTGAAAATCAGGTTCTCTCTCCTATTGAATGAAGAAATTTAAGTCAGAAATTTGCTTAATGACTGTGATGCTCGCCAGGGAGCAAGAGAACAGATTAGATCCTGATTTCTCTCTGGAATTAAAAGCTTAGAAGCAGAGCCAATGCATTACAATGCTTGCGCTTCTGGTCCTACAGCAAATCTCCCAGGTATCGCGGCAGCAATCTTCTGGAAAGAAGAGTCCCGCTGCCTGGCACTGGCGCAGCTGCCTGCCTTTCACAGGTTCAGCTACAAAACCTGTGCGGCGTGCAGCACAGCAGGCTGCTGGAGGGCCCCGACGCACTCGGTACAATTCCTGTACTCCAGCTGGTACAGAAGCACTTAGACTTGTAGGAACATTCTGATATTTACTAACCGGACTGACAAAGCTGTTATAAAAAAAGAATCTAAAATTTATACTATGTTAGGAAAAACAACCTCCCAGATTTTAAGCTCGACAGATAAGGAAGCAAGTCAGTTACTGTATGTCATGGCATGTCTCTTCCTTTTTCTTTTTGATTTATAATGAGACAACAGTAATGTTCATTATTTAAGCCTGTGATATCTGAGGAAAAAAAGGATTTAAAAAAAATCAAAACCAAACCACTCTAACCTTTCCAGCTTGAACTTCTGCTTGTATCTCCTTTAGAGCTGCCAGCTGACCTTGCAGAACTTTAATTTCTTCCTCCTTCTGTTTCTCTGCTTTTTCTGTTGCTGCCTTTCTCTGTGCCTGTCAAGAAAAACTCTTTCAATCACAAAAGTTTTTGGACCGTATGTCATACAGAAGAGATTGCAAAACACATCAGCACAGAACAAACGGTCAGCGCAGCACAACCTGCTTGGCTGAATGACTGCTCTGTGGCAGTAACACCTCCCACCCCACAAATCACCCAAAAGAAACAAAAAGCATTTCCTTGGCACTTACTGCTTCCAAGGCCAGCCAGCACAGAACAGCACCATGTTTTTCCAAATAGTTGTGTATTATTTCAGAAGTACCATCTCTGTATTCTTTGTAGGCTTTATTCATAAGAGTGAGTCTATGTCATAAACCCAACATGTGCTTCTCACACTACGCAGTGTTAACACCACCCCTCAAGATACTCTGCTACGCGTGTCATTCAGTGTCTAACAGAGCTATGAAATCGGTACATCGTTGAGCTGAATGCAGAGTTTAAAATAGCTACGGATGTTCTGCAGTCTTTTTACGTACCCTGATTTCAGCTTCGGAAAGTTCACCATCTATTTTAGAAAATCCATCAAAGAGTGTTTTATAGAGAACAGTCTTGCGAATGCTTGCATCATCTGGAGGAAGATGTTCCAGGACAGCAGCCTTGTCCTTCCTGTACACATCAAAGGTAATCCTCAAGGCTACATCACGAACTTCGTACACTCTGTGTTGCAAAGCTCCTGTTGCAAACTGAAAACAACAGAAAAAATGATGCCTCACTTTTCCTACATATTTTTTAAAGACTTGTTTTGTGTTGTCACCTCCAAGAGGCTCCGATGCTCTTCCGTAACTCACCAGGCACTCCAAAACAGACAGACAAGTCCCAATAAAAGAGCACAGAAAAAACTTTGCGTGCTGTAAGCTCAGACCCCTACCTTCATGATGTTGCCGACGGTAAACCCGGAGTTCTGAGTTCCTAAGACTTTCAAGAGGCGTTCCACTAACTCCACCTGACTCATGGCCAGATGGGCTGGGGAGTTTGGCTTTAATGGCTGGACCAGATGAACTGGGACAATCTGCAGAGGTTTAACTTCACTGCACAGTGCCATTTCCTGTAAGCGTACAGAGAGTCAGCGTGCAGC